AGAAAATCTCCTGAGGCTGAGCGCCAGGGAGAAGTGTGAGCCGGCTGAGGCTGCACTGCTGAAGGGTCACCATGAGGTGGGTTGTGGATATGCAATTCGAAGCTCTGAACGTAACCCTGGGAAACCTGGAACACAGGTACACTGGGCCTAGCTGCTGTGGCTGTGGCTGCTGAGGAGACATGTGTTGCTAGGTGATGTGGGCAGTAACAGCAAGCCATCCGGGGTCCTTTCTTCCTCTTTCAGGCTTTTAGACTCTTCCTAGCATTCATTCCCTTTAGAAGGGAGGTCACAGAACCAGTCAGAAAGACAGAAATGTGATTTGTAAAGACCCAGCTCCTGCATCACAAAGAATTGATAAAGCTGAGTGTGGGACTCAGAGATAAAAGCTTAATAGCCAGGACACTGACAGGAATGGCCTTGAGAATCCAGTGCCCATCAGGCCTCTGTCCTGTGATTTCTCCACAGCAGAATTATTGACATTTGGAGTCAGATAATTCTTTGGCGTGGGGTTGCCTGTCACCTTTTAGGAGGTTAAGCAGCATCCCTGGTCCCTAATGACTGGATGCCAACAGCAACTCCCAAGCTGACTGTCACAGATATCTCTACACATTGCAGAATATTCCTTGGGGGACAAAATCTTCTCCAGTTGAGAACCACTGAGCTAAGTGCTTGCTTTGTGCTGTGCTTGTCTCTATTATTTTAATAATCCCCCTTTTCCCACTTAAACTATTTCAATTTAACTCCTATTACCTGCAACCCAGGGAGTCTTACACGTTGTCCTATCATTTGTTGAGATCTTTAATATGTCTCAGGTCCTGTGCTAAGCATTTACAGGCATCATCTACTTTAATGCTCTCAACAATCCTGTGAGGCAGGAACATGTATTTTGTCCTCACTCGACAGAAAAGGAAACTCAGGTTCTGTGAGGCAAGTTACTGCCAGGCATTTAGTAAAGCAGGTGCTTTACCTCGTGAAGCCGCACTGTCATATATTCCCACTCATCAGTGTCACAGGCCTCCGTCACCTTGTCCTGAATCCTTTATAGTACATTGAGCCACAAGATATTGCCATGTTTGTACATCAAGAAAGTCAGATGTCAGTGGCCCCATTTAATGTAAGTAAATGTGTCCCATCCTTTGTTAGGAAGGCCACCATCCAATAATCATGCCCGTTGTTCATGGTGGTGTCTTGTGCTCTTCTTCATGAGCTCTTCCTGGACTGCTTCAATTTATGAAGATATATTGATTTGCTAGAGCTTCCATAAAAATGTATTCCTGACGATGTAACTCAAACAAGAGAAATGTGCTTTTTCAAATGTTTGGAGGTCAGGAGCCTCAGAGCAAGGTGCCAGCAAGGTTGCTTTCTGCAATCTCTCTCTTTGGCTTGTAGCTAACTGATTCTCCTTGTATTGCCACATGTCTTCCAATTTTGCACCTCTGTGTCTTAATCTCCCATCTAATAAGGATATCGATTATATCAAGCTTTGATTTGACCTAACCACCTCCTTAAAGTTCCCATCTCTAGATATAACCACATATTTGAGGTTGGGGGGTTAAGGACTTCAGCCTGTGAATTTGGGGGTGAACACAGTTCTGCCTATAACAGTAAATTTCACCCTCCCAGAAGCAACAAGTGCTTGCTGTTTGTGAGATTCACTTGACCCTCAATCATATTTGTTTAATTTGACTCTCGAACTGTTTTGTTTTACATAAATGTGTATAAATCTTGTCCCTTCAGGAAGTCCCTATGTTACTAAGAGCACTTTCTCCCTCAGACCTGGCTCTGTGATAGGCACCCATCAATAGCATTTTTATATAGTTATCATTAATAAAATACCAAAATAAAATAGGAACATTAATTCTAAAAATTCTGAAATTTCTTCCATCTTTAAGTTTCCACAACTCGCTGCTCTTTAAAACCACTTTTTATGCAGTTAAAACACTCTGAGCTCTCTTGGAAACCTTTATTATTACCTTAATTTTCTTCGTGATGAGCCAGCACCAGTGCTATCAAGAACCGAGTTTTAAAAACACTCAAAACTGATTTGCCCTGTGGGAGCCCCTTAAGATTTTCAGCTCTAACTGCTGATCAAGTAAACACAGGCTCCAAGGCTAAGAGAAAGAAAAATATTAAGACCAAAAAAGCATATGTAAAAGTCTGTGAGCTTCAACCCACAGGCTAGCTAAAAATAGAACTCCATTACGACCTCTTCCTCCGCCAAGCCAGAGAGGCCAGAGAGGGGCTGATGGGTATCACGGCTTGCAAATGAAGCACTAGTTTATGGAATAAATGTAAATATATTCATTCTAGGGAGTTCTTTTCAGATCCACACTGGTTTTTGGCTCTGGTCCACAGTGTTTATGACATAGAAAAATTTAGAGCTCTGACTATGGCAGTCATTGTTTCTTCTAGAACATGCAGAAATGTCTAATTTATAACATTTTTATTTGACTGGAGAATATGGTGAACAGGCTCCAAATCATTTCCCTGAAGAATGACTACTGTGCATGATTTATCAATCATAGCTTTGCATCTGTTCATTTGCCTTCCCTCAGCAAATATTTATTGTATGCCTACTTTACGGTGGTGGTTTAACTTTACCACTCTGCACTGTAGTCAGTCTGTGTTGCGGTTTGGGTCAGTAAGATCTAGGGAGACAGTAGAAATGTCAGTTAAAAGTGGAGCCTGGGGGTCACCAGGCTTCTACACTTGCTGGCTCTAATAGACATGAAAAACCCAATATGCAATAACACAATTGTAATGGGGAATTTAGTACCCTATTAGCAAGAAGAGATAGATCAACTAGACAAAAAGTCAGCAAAGAAATAACAGAACTTGTGAACAAATGAACTTACTGGATATTTACAGGGTGTTCTACCCAACCACGTCACAATACACATTCTTTTCAGTTGCACATGGGACATTCTCTAAAATGAACCATATATTAGCCCATAGAACATGCTTAAGTAAATGCAAAGGGGTTGAAATTATCTCATGCATATTATCTGACCATAGTACATTGAAATTGGAAATTAATGGGAAAAGAAACTGCAAAACCTACATAAACACATAGAAATTAAATAACACCCCCCTGAACAACCAGTGAGTCATAGATGAAGTTAAAAAAGAAATTAAACAATCTCTATAAGTCAATGAAAAAGCAGATACAACATACCAGAACCTGGGAGATGCAGCAAAACCAGTCCTAACGCTGCACCTCAGGCTTCTAGAGAAAGAAGAGCAAGTCAACACCAAAGCTTAGAGAAGGGAGGAAATTATAAACATCAGAGCAGAAATTAATGCAACTAAGACTAAGAAAAACAATACAAAGAATTAAGAAATTGAAGAGGTGTTTCTTTGAAAGAATAAGCAAAATCTATAAATCCCCAGTCAACCTTATCAAGAAAAGGAAAGACTCAAATCCATGCAATGAGGAATAAAAAGGGTGAAATTACTATACATCGTATTGAAATACAGAAGATCATCAACTTCTACTTTGGAAATCTTTACTCACATAGGCTGTAAAACATAAAACAAATGGGCAAAGTTCTAGAAATGAATGAATTACCAAAACTGAATCAACAAGGTATAAAAATTTTGAATAACCCAATAACAGTTACTAAAATTGAAAATGTAATTAAAAGCTTATCAACAAAGAAAATCTCAGGTCTTCATGGATTCATGGCTGAATTCTACAAGAAATTTAGAGAAGATTTAATGCCAGTACTCTTCAAACTCTAATGGAATTCAAAGGGAAACAATTTTCCCTAACTCATTCCTCAAGGCAAGCATTATTCTGAAACCAAAATCAGAGAAAGGCCCAACCAAAAAGAACTGTAGATCAGTCTCCCTAATGAACCTGGATGCAAAAATTCTCAGTGAAATACTAGTAAACAGACCTCACAAATCATCAAGAAGATGATATACCATGACAAAGTGGGATTCATCTCAGGAATTCAGGATGGTTCAACATACACAAATCAATAAATGTAATATACCACATCAACAGAACCAAAGACAAAAGCCACATAATTATCTCAATAGCCTCAAAAAAAAAAAAAAAAGGAAATACTTAGGACTCAATCTAACAAGGATGTAAAACTATATACTGAAAACTATAATTTAAAAAGTAGATTGAAGAGGATATCAGAAAATGGAAAGATATTCCTTGCACAGGATGAACCAACATTGTGAAAATGGCCATAATTTCAAGCTATTATACAGATTCAATGCAATCCTCAACAAAATACCTTTAGTGTATTTTTCAAATCTAAAGAAAATATTCCTAAAATTCATTTGGAAGCAGAAGAAAACTAGACTAGCAAAGTCAATCCTGAGCAAAAAATGTATCAAAGGCAAGGCAGAATGCATCAAATTCCTGACTTGATATTATACTACAAAGCTACTGCAATAAAGTCAGCATCTTACTGGCAAGAAAACAATTACAGACACAACTACAAAGACACTCAGCCACCTTATCTTTGACAAAGGGCAAAACGTATTCACTGGAGAAAAGATAGCCTGTTTAACAAATTGTGCTGGAAAAATTGACTTTCCACATGCCAAAGACTAAAACTAGACTCATGTCTATCATCATGCACTATATTAAAGGCAAAATAGATCAAAGATCTAAATATTAAAATAGAAAATACCAACTCTAACAAAAGACAAGGTAGAAATCTTGAAGACATAGGGGTAGGCAAAGAGTTTATGAACAAAATGCACAGGAAGTACTTCAAAGAATCAACAACTGGAATCCCATCTTATTAAAAAGTTTTTACACTTCAAAGGAAATCATCGACAAAGTGAAAAGGAAACTCATAGAATAGAATTTTAGCCAATGTCCCTCAGACAAAGGACATAAAGAACATTAAAAGAACTGAAAAATATCAGGCTCTTCAAATTCAAAGACCTAAATCCAAAAATGGGCATTTGAGATGGACACACACTTCTCAGATGAAGAAATACAAATGGCAATAAATACCTAAAGAAATGTTCACCATCACTGGTCATTGAAGAAATGCAAATTAAAACAATGTTAAGATTCCATCTCCAGAAACAATGGCTGCCATCAAGAAATCAACCAATAACAAACATTGGTGGGGCTGAGGGGAAAAAGGAACACTTCTCCATGTTGGTGGGAGTGTAGATTGGTACAACCACTGTGGAAATCAGTGTGGAGATTCCTCAAAAAACTAAGATTGGATATCCCATTTAATCCAGCTATTCCCTTTCTGGATATCTTCCAAGAAGAACTGAAAATGTCATGCTACAGTGATATGTGCATGTTGGGAGCCGCAGCCCCGAGCCCGGTCGCCTTACTTGGCGGACGTGCGGCCTGTAGTAAAGAGCAAAGCCTGAGGTAGATTACCCCTCCCATCGAGTACGCCAGTTTCCTGCTTACCGCGTAAGCAACCCGCTCAACAATATAGTCTGCCTGGCAACTGATGATGTTAGCCAATCAGCTTGCCTTGCTTACTTTAACATGATTGGACACTGTACCCGTATATATACTGGTGCCACCCCTGGGAGGAAGTAGAAGCCAGGTAGAAGCCCGGAAGTAGAAGCCCAGAAGGAGCCGCGGAGAGCGGACCGATAGAGGCTTCGGGGCAGACTGAAGCACAAGAGGAGCCGCGGAGAGCGGACCAAAGGAGGCTTCAGCTGGGAGAACCCAGGGCAGGCTGTACGGAGAAGAAGAATAAAAAGAAAAGGTTGTCCACTCCCAGACTTTGTCGTGTGTCCTTCCGCCGGCCAGAAGCGACCGCGACATTTGGTGGCCCGCCCGGGGACTGATCACCCCCGAGACGTAGTGGACAACGCTCCAGTACAGAGCTGCGAGACAGGTGAGTTGGGGATAAGCCTGGGCTCTGGGTGGCGCGCACCTACAGGGCTTTTAGACTCCCCTCAGGCTCACGCGTAAGTGGCAGATTCCTTGGGCCTCACGCGGTGAGTAACATATTAAAAAATGGGAAACATGCTAGGTAGCGGCACTAAGAGCGAGGGTGGTTGTGGAGAAAGCTCTCAAGAGCTTACAAAAGTACGCAGGGTATCTGAGCAGGCCCAGTCAGGGAGCTCCCGAGAGGTGTCCGTCAAGGGGAACAAGGATGCTAAGGAGAAGGACGGGGCTCTAGCCTCGGAGTTGTCTGACTCCGAGGACGAGGGAAAGTTGAATGGCAGGGAGGCCAAAGAGACTAGCTGTCAGGAGCCTAAGTCGCTCCATAAGGAGTCGGGTCTGCGGAAGAGTAGAGAGCTCCTGAGTGCGCTCCGGCGCGAGAGGGAGGCAAAGCCTTCCGCCCCACCTCGGGGGCCGTTCCCGGAGGCGATTCCTCGCCACGAGGCGGCCGCCTGGGAGCCCCCCCCCCTTTCGCCAGAACAGGAAGTGATGCACGGGCCCCCATTCTCCGCCCAATCACGGCCGCCGTTTTATGCTCCGCCGCCGGCGGATCGGTATTTTCACAGGTGGCTTTGGCAGGGGAGACGCTTGTTTCATGAGGTACATCCACCACCTGGGATGGATAGTGACCCCTATGGGATATTTCCTGTACAAGTGGCTATAGGCCAGGGACGCAATGTACGGGAGCCTTTTGAGATAAAGCAGATTAGAGAACTTAAAAATGCAGTTACAACCTTTGGGCCGACTGCGCCTTACACCATTGCCATGCTGGAGAATCTGTCTTCTGGGCCCCTCACCCCCGCGGACTGGATTCAGCTAGCAAAGGCGTGTCTGCCCTCGGGTATTTACCTGGATTGGCGAGCCTGGTATGCAGAGTCCTCTGCAGAGCAGGCTGAGAGAAACGCCAATCGGGGAGACCGGGGGTGGAACAAGAGAATGCTTGTGGGAGAGGGTCGGCGCGCTGATGGTCAGACTCGGTTCCCCGGCGCTCTCTGGCGGGGAGGAGATAGAGAGCCATCCGCTCCGCCCTGGAGCTCTTTTCTAAAAGCGGCTCCCCGCCGAGAGGCCGCCACAGGAAACCCTCCCTTCCCTCAGCCGGCACAGGAAGTGACGCCCCGTTTCACTCTGTCGCGACCGCAGTCTTATGACGTCGCGCCGCTGGGCAGACGGTATTTTCATGGGCGGCTACTCTGCCGAGCAGGCTGAGAAAAACGCCGGTCGAGGAAAAAGGGGCTGGGGATTTAGCTCAGCGGCTTAAGCGCCTGCCTTGCAAGTGTGCAGTTGTTAGTTCGATCCCTGGTACCAATAAAAAAAAAAAAAAAAAAAAAAAAAAAAAAAAAAACGAAAAAGATAAAAATAAAAAATAAAAAATAAAAAACAAAAAGGGGGAGTAAACCCTCGAGGTTTGATCCCTGGTGATGTTTGGCAGATGGACATCACACATATACAGGAGTTTGGGACTCTTAAATATGTTCATGTTTCCACAGACACCTGTTCTCGCGTCATATTTGCAACAGCAGAAACAGGTGAAAAAGTGTCTAATGTGATCAATCATTGCCTGGCAGCTTGGGCCGCATGGGGCAAACCAAAAATATTAAAAACTGATAATGGACCAGCCTATATAGGCAAAGCTTTCAATGAGTTCTGCAAAATGATGGAGGTTCAATTAAAACATGGTATCCCATACAATCCCCAAGGTCAAGGAATCATTGAGAGGGCTCATAGAAGCCTCAAAGAAATTTTACAAAAACAAAAAGGGGGAGTAGGCCAAGGCCTGGCCCCAAAGGCACGATTATCCATGGCACTATTCACACACAATTTTTTAAATTTAAATAATGATAATTGCTCCCCAGCTGTGGAGCACTGCAACCCTTCCCCCAACCATAAAGGGTGGGTGAAGTGGAAAGATGTCCTGACAGGACAATGGATGGGCCCGGATCCAGTGGTCAGCTGGAACCGAGGCGCGGTTTGTGTTTTCCCACAGGAATCGGGACGAAAACCACTGTGGATACCGGAGAGACTGACACGGGCAACAAAGCCCTCGACTGAAGATCAGACCTGCCCTACCGGAGATCCATCACAGACCAACCAACAAGATGAATAGAAATAGCGGTAGCCCGAAATGGACAAAAAGATCCTCAGGCATATGCATGGCTTGCTCGATTGGCCCACGACCGAGTCTAGATATGGCGGGCATCCTTCATTCTCCTCCATAAGGTGACAATACACAGCAGGGTAGATGAGTCAATGACGGGTAAGAGCGTGCCTCCCCAGCACGACTCGACCTAAGCCAGGCCCTACCCCATCCTGCACGTAAGCCGCTGGACTGTTAGATGCTGCCCAGGTCTAAATTTCTCTCCAAGGGGATTTCTTTACGGAGAGGAAATGAGTGCAAGCTTGTGTGCATCCAGGTTCCGTCCAGTTTGTGCCTGGCCCTAGAAAAAGGACGAGGGCCTCAGGGCCTTGGCAGACCATGGGACGGCCGACCAGGGTCTAAGCCAAGGACCTACGGTGGGCCTACGCATAGGGCATAAGCCTCTGCACCCAGTCCAGGAAGGGCTACGATGCGCACATTCATAAAAAATAAAATAGGGGGAGATGTTGGGAGCCGCAGCCCCGAGCCCGGTCGCCTTACTTGGCGGACGTGCGGCCTGTAGTAAAGAGCAAAGCCTGAGGTAGATTACCCCTCCCATCGAGTACGCCAGTTTCCTGCTTACCGCGTAAGCAACCCGCTCAACAATATAGTCTGCCTGGCAACTGATGATGTTAGCCAATCAGCTTGCCTTGCTTACTTTAACATGATTGGACACTGTACCCGTATATATACTGGTGCCACCCCTGGGAGGAAGTAGAAGCCAGGTAGAAGCCCGGAAGTAGAAGCCCAGAAGGAGCCGCGGAGAGCGGACCGATAGAGGCTTCGGGGCAGACTGAAGCACAAGAGGAGCCGCGGAGAGCGGACCAAAGGAGGCTTCAGCTGGGAGAACCCAGGGCAGGCTGTACGGAGAAGAAGAATAAAAAGAAAAGGTTGTCCACTCCCAGACTTTGTCGTGTGTCCTTCCGCCGGCCAGAAGCGACCGCGACATGTGCACACATGTTTATAGCGGCACAATTTGTAACAGCTAAATCTTGGAAACAACTCACATGCCTGTCAGCCAAGGAATGGATAAAAAAGATGTGGCATTTTTATATAAATAGAGTATTACTCAGCTATAAAAAGGGTAATCTTGAGGTTTTTGTAGGTAAATTGATGCAATTTAAGACACACTCATAAGTGAAATAAATCAAACTCATGTGTGTAAAGATCATATTGTCTCCCTAGTGTAAAAAAAGACTGAAACAGTAATAAGTTCCAAAATGTACCATAGATATTGTGAAAATGAAAGAGAAACAGTGCTCAAAGTGAAAGCTCAACAGGAATAGGGGAAAGGAAAAAAGAAAGATGAAAAAATATTATATGTATCTCTATCTCTATCTCTATCTCTATACCTATATCTATATATACAAGATAGATAACTACACTACTTGATAAGTTCATCAAAAAGAACAGTTTGTGTTTTTATTGTTTGATCACTTTTTTATGCCTAAATCTTATAACCTGAGCTACTTTTAAGGTAACAATATGCAATATGTCAACTAGTGTCATTTTCCTTTTTTTGAAATTCTGTGTCCTTTTAATCATTTTTTGTTTTGCATTCAAAATAAAAAAGGAAGAAATAAAAACAAAAGATCCCATGGCTCAGGAGAAGGAATAAGGGCACTTGTAGCAGTTATCATTACTAAATGTCCTTAAGAATAGAGACTACTACTTTTCATCTATCGTGTGTGGTCCAGAGACTGACACAGAATGTGTGTTCAGAATTATACTCTATTAATGAGTCACTGAAATAGATGCTAGGATTATATAGATAAAAATGCATTTTCCTTGTTCTTTAGGACCTGAGTCTTATGGAGGGATGAACCAACCTGTATACATACAGACCTGGAGTCTGTATGTATACATGCATACACACACACACACACACACACACACACACACACACACACACACGGGCACAGACCACACAAGTGACTCCAATGTGGTTAAGGACCAGCAGAGGTGCAATGAAAGCTCAGAGGTAGGAGACCACAGATTTTATCTCAAAGCATTAGAGATAATGTTGGTGCTGTCCTATGGCAGGGCATTTCCAGTAGAAGGAAGAGTGTATGCAGACAAGAAAGAGCTGGAACACCAGGGCAGGCATGAGGCATGACTGGGGTTCAGGCAGTTCCAAACCCAGCTTATATTTTGCTCACTGTGACTATGGAGACTTGTAAAGGTTGCAAATTCCCCAGAAGGCAATATGCCCAGAGGGTTCTTCAGAGCAAATTCTCAACTGGTTAGGGTTGAAAGCCTTCTTGAAATGCACTGATGTTTCAAGCAGTCTGCTAAGGCATGAGACTTTCTCCACAAATGTCTTTCAAAGCATGAAAGAGAAAGAGCCAGGACCCTGAATAGCTGGATGTAGCGTGTGGCTCTATAGTTTGTGTGGCTCTGAGATTTTTACCAAGTGACTTTCTCCCCCAGCCTTTGGAAAGAGTAACAAGTCATCTACAACCTGCAGACACACAGCGAAGTACAAGAGTTGCCTGAAATTTCATTTGGTGGCTCACAGTGGCTCTGAACAGCCATTGGAAGAGGCGCAGAGGGATGGAACTGTGTTGTTTTCTGGAGAAATTGCCTTGCTGTTAATTCAAATAGAATGATCCCATAGGCCCTAAGGCAGAAATCACAGAATGAATTAGAAGGGCTGAAGGAAGCCAGAGGGATCCATGAATTAATATTTATTAGACACTGACTTTGTACCAGGCATTGCTAGGGAGGGAAATACAGATCTGCCAGCCACAGTGACTGCTCATAAGAAAATCACAGCTGTCCTGTGAGGCGAGCACATGGGAATAAGAAACATGAGATGTATTTGTGCAGAAGACTTTGCAAAAGGAACATTCTAGTTTGCTGGCCTCGGAGAGGCACTGAGGGGGAGCCATGCAGAGGCTGGCACGAGCCAGGGTTGGAAGCTTCTTGTAGATGAGAAATGAAGAGAGAAGCGGAGAAGATGGTTTACAATCGGCTGCTAAATTATATCTTAGTGGGAATTTAGCTCCCAGGTAGGACAGTAATCTGATAAAATACTAGTGATTCATCACAGTAAACATATTTCTGTGTATTATTGCTTTTCCTTTCTTTACCACCCCTACCCCCATACATGCTGTTGTGTAAAATTGTTTTCTGGTGTTCAGTAGCATCTTGCCATCAAGTAGCACTGTTGGGTTTAAAAAAAGAATGTGATCCCTGCCTTCTGCCCAGAACTCTGGAAATCTGAATTCAGGTCTTGGTTCTGGTTGGGAGACAGTAGTGGAGCACAACAGAAATTCCAACAGCTATTGTGAGAAGTTGTTCAGGAAGGCCGAATGTGAGTGATTTAGGATCACAACTGGGCAAAGAGCGTTGTGGAGAATTTCTCTCAAGTGAGTGTGCAGTCCTCACCAAGCCCTGCCATAAATTATTTTTCCCTCCTTTTCTCCTTCTGGGTGGCTAGATATGCTGTCAGGTATTCTAGATTCAAATTCTATCTCTGCTCCTGTTCAATTTTGTGACTTTAGGCAAGCTGTCCTGAGGTCTTTTTCTGTCTAAAGGGAACAGTAATCAAGTCTGTACCTTAGCCTTGCAAAACTAAGGAAATAAGAATCAAAAACACATCTAAAAGCACCCAGAAAGTGCTAAAAGATACAGTAAATACTAGTCATTATCATTTGTCCGGTCAGCACACTCCCTTTCCCCTGTCCCCTTTCTACACACAGACTCTGTTTTCCTAGAGGGGCTGGGTGAGAAGAGGTGGGACCACTGTGAATTACTGTGCATCAGCCCCTGACCTGTGCTCAGTCCATGACTCAAGGCTGGATATGTGATACACATGATACCTCATCCTCCCTTGGATTCTCCTGCTGCAGTTGTGTTTTCCCTTCAGATCTTGGACTGTTATAACCTTGGGGTGGACAATGGCCACATCTCTGTCACCCAGGGAAGACCTAACTGATTGCAGAGGGTGAAGCTTTGCAGAACACACAGAATAAATGCTATGCGTGGGTGCAGTGCTGATATCTCCCTCATGTCTTCAGTTCTGTGCATTTGAGGTCCTATCCCTATTGTTCTGCAATAAACTTGCTTTCTAGAGTAAGCCCCCAAGTCCTGCCTGAGCCAAGGGGAGAGAGAAGGGACCCCAGGGAGACTGGAGATGCTGCTAAACATCCTGGCTTTGTTTGTAAGAAAGTTGAAAGGTCAATCCAAGTGAAGGAGGAGCAGAGCAAGGAGGAGTTTAGGTTGATATCTAATATTCCATTATGCTTTTTAGGGCGACAGAACACATTTTTAATTCTAGAACTGGACTTTCTATCCTGGAAATCTTTATTGCCACGTGGCCTTTTGATTCCTTGTTCTGAGAATTCAGGTTGGTTAATTTCATAATGCATTTCTGCTAAGAAATTTTGTAGAGAGCAATTGTTTCATGTTCCTATACAGTTCCAGTTAAATACTGATTCAACTCATGCTGTATGTCAAATACATTATGCAAAAGTAAAGCACAATATTAACAGAATAATTATTAAAAAACTTAAACTCTAGCTATATATTACAGATATGTTTTTAGGAATTACTAAGGATGTGATTAAATTGATGTTTATTGTTTACTTAGCTGCATATACTTTTTTAAAAAAAACTAAAAAAATGCATCTGTAAAAGAAGTAAGACTTGTTTTTAAGACTTTAACTTCTATTCTTTGCAGGCCTCCTTAAGTCCAGAACCTTCTGACCACATTAAAGACAAATGACCTCAGTCCACAGGAGGCCTAATTAACAATACCAAGTTATTAGTAAGGGAAAATCCCTAAGGACACATACTCAGAAGGGTGTGATATAACATCAGAATGACACCAACCACAGGCTTCAGGGAGGGGAGTACAGGAGCTAGATTAATCATCCTTTAAGCACATGGTCCACAGAATGAGGCAAGATGAAACAGACAAGATTGTGGCAGTTTGAAGTCTGAAGAGGGTATGGGAGACTATTTCCAAAATGTAACTTTCAAGATAAAAATGAGCTGTCATTGTGATATAACTGAAACCACAATGAAGAAGAAGAAGGAAGAGGAGGAGGAGGAAAGGAGGCGGAAGAGAAAGAAGAGAAGGAGGAGGAGGACTTATGTGTTGGCATTCTTTCTTAAAGATGCTGTTATAGATTAAAAACTGGTGGTTAACTTTATGCCAACAGGAAATAAATCACCATGGTTCTGAGCATAGATGTTCCACCTGAGGAAAGTTGCCAGGAAATAGAGTCGTGGAAAAGAAGGGAGGAGTTAAGGCATTCAGGCATTGTGGATTCTCCTATGTGTTACTGTCTGAGCTGCTGGTTCTCCTGGAGGAGCTCTGGCTTGATGTAAAGACCAGAGCTCCTCCAGGAGAACCAACGGCTCAAACAGCAATACGTAGGGGAACCCATAATGCCTTCGCTTCCTGGCTCTGGAGGGGAAGACGTGCGCCACTTTATCTCCAGAATGAACTCGTCATGCTGCTTCCTGGCATGTACTCGACTGCTTATCGTCGGAGGAGCTCAGGGCCTCTGTGTTGCTGAGGATGGCTGTGGTGCTTTTCAGGACAGCCCTGGGCTTTGTTGTGAGTGTGACTTCTCGACTCCAGCAAAGAACCCTCAACCTATCAGCACAGCTCCTTCAGCCTGCTGGCATAGACTTTCTAGCTTCCACCACTGATCTTTGGGCCTTCCCAGCACAGATCTGTAAAAGAAACTGGCATGAGTCTTGCTTGTGGGCCCTAGACCTCCAGTTGGACTCATGGGAGGCATTGTCATGAGCTTTGGGTCTTCATCTGGACTCATGTGGGACATTGCTGTGGAATTTAGGCACTTGGTTGAGTACTCTATGTCTTTGGTGTTATGGATAGATTTCCCGCACTTTCTTGTGTTAACTCTGGGTGACCATCATAAA